ATACAACATAAAATAAAATCGTTTAAATGAAGTACCTAATTTGAATATTTAGAAACATTTAGACTCGTTAAATATCCTTTAAATGAAAGTGTCTAATTCTCTTTTTTCAATTGATTTGTTTTTAGTATCAGGTTGAGATAATTGTATAGCATATTAATCATTTAAATCTATAATTATGCAGCTATCAGTGTCTAAAACCCTTGAGATCTTGGTAAAGAGATATTCGACTCCACTTACTAATAGAGTGAAATTATTATCTTTTTCTTTTATTTTAGCATTCCTTATTTAATAGTGATTAAGTCATTTAATTGTAGAAACAAGTTTTTTTTTAGAGGAAAAAGTACATAAGCACAGAGAAGGTAGTCAAAAGTTTTAAAATCCTATGGTTGTTTTTTTTCTGAAGTATATATGCGTTTGCTTTACTCGTCTCCCTATTTGTTTTGTTATAATGGACTTACAGATTAGAAACTGTTCACTATCTGCATTTTTTCTACGATATTTTAACATTTATATATACTAATTCTAAAATATAATCATAATTTTACTCTTTTTATTATATTTTCTGTTAATCTTTTTGAAAACCTTAATTAAAAAAGGTGTATTCTTTATTCTCAAAATCGGTTCCTTTCAATTCGATGATTCCCATTAAGATATTCTGGCATCAGAAGGAAGGTTTAACAATATTTATTGTTATGCAAATTTCATTAGAAATAGATCAAGTTTGAACTGAATATTGTAATTAAAAAGGATTTCTTTTTCTCATGATTATTGCTTTGCAAAGATTTTCAGTAGCAAATTTTCATTAATATTGTAAATGTATTATCTGATGCCTAAAATATTGACTCGCCAAAAACTGTTGTTTAAACATTTTTAAATTCAATTTTTAAAAAAAATATGATTAGACCTTAATAGTAGGTTTAGCAATGTTGAAATTTAATGAGACCTTATAATAGTATCTTTTTCTTAATAGGTAACATCCTTAATGTTATAAAAGTAACGTCTGATGTATTATGTAAAATTAAAAAAAAATCTTACGTCAAAAAGTGTTTTTTTTTTATGTTTTAATATACACTTATTTTAGTCCTGGTTTTACTACGAAGTTAAGATAATCGTAATGATAGTCAAACATAATGTTAATGAGGAATATTAGGTTAAATGTATTGAATATCGATTCAGATTGTATAAAAAATGTTATCAGCTGTAATTAATATTTATAAAGTTATAAACAGCCATTTTGATATTCAGTGCAATTTTTTTCAAAGAATTGTAATAATAATAAAAAAAATATCGATACCCGTCCGGAGAAATGATTTTAAGATCCAAAAGGCCTGAAAGAAATGTTTAAATGGCTTTAATAACCAAAAAAAAATAATTTTTTGACTAAATTAAAGTATAAAAATATATATTATATAGATGTATGAGGTATTACTAATACATTGAGAAAATAAGATTTAATGTTGTTGAGTTAGAGAAAGTCTAAAATAGAACCGGAACGTTAATATATCTCCTGGGCCTTAGTACATATATATGGATTTTAGGATTCCGTGTTAAACACATAAGATAATGAAACATTTTAATCTTTAATACCTTAAACTGACGAAGATTTTTTTTTTTAATGTCGGTTGGATAGTGTTTTGTTTTAATCTTTCTTCTTAATCACTAATTTTTTTACTCCGTCTCTGATTGAGTCGTTAATTTCAATCGCTTACCTTGTCCATGAAAATAGAATATTTCATTTTCTATAACTTTGATCGTCGTTCAATGTCATTATCAGACAAAAACCTTCGACTACTTCATCACTGTTTCTCTTTATCTAATTATATTTTTAAACTAAATTCTTTCACTTTTTTACAGTTTTGTTTCCCATGCAAGATCGCGTCTAGTTTTGCTTTGATGTTAAAGGTGGCGAAGAGGTACAATGATCAATAGTTAGATTAAGTTAAGAAATCGTAAAGGGGACAAAATTGCTAGTTTCTTTGAAATCCGCCGAATCTTAGAGTCCAAAGCATTCGTAGCATTCAAATACACCAAAAATAAACGCTCCATATTAATAATGAACAGTTAAATTGGTAAATACGGAGGAAATGACATACATGTAGCAATCAATGAGAGCATATCATCATTTTACAAAAAATCCCCATATAATGTATATATGGATGTACATGAAATAGATGAAGATAACGAACAATATTTAAGATCAAAAGTTCACAAAACAATACAAAACAGGAACAGAATAAACACGGACATCCAAAACATCAGAGGTTACTCAATTGTATTTGCTGACAAGGTCATTGTATCGACCATAAAACTTACGAAATGATGACTTTAAACGAGACTGCTGATATATATAGCAAACACTATTCAAGCCAAGTAGTCCATAAAACAATACAATTAGGAGCAGAACAAACACGGACCTCCAAAACACCAGAGGTGGGATCAGGTGCCATAGCAGAGTGGGAATCTCCTGCTGACTGTCACAACCGCTCTGTGTTCCTTGTCAGGAAATTACGGGAAAAGTCTGTCGACAATTTAATATGGAAAGAATGACCGAACAATAAGTATTTAAAACGTCAATAAGCATTCGACTCAATGATAAATATATTTGCTGACAAAACTAAAGAAATTATGCCTTTAACGAGACTGCTGATATTTTATGTTTTATCATGTCGATTTATCTCTAATTAATTTACCTCGTTTTAGAAATAGATCATACGTAGAGCATACTCATGCGTGTCGAATCAACTGAGAGATGTAAACCCCAAATTCAGGTGCTGAAGGTATAATGCTGCATGAGTGCTAGAAGCAGACGATTGTAAAGTTAAAGTCATCATGTTTACAAGAGCTTGGTTGTTAGATTATCGATAATGTCTTTTTTCAAGGAAAATTTCCAAATATGTTTATGTATCAAAATCTGTTGTATATTTCAATATATCTAAATGTCGAGTTGAAGACCACGGCAATTGTTTTCTTCTTTTTGCGTATAAGATTTTGAACAAATTCTGTTTCATATGAATACAATTTAAATTATTTGAAGTAACGCTTCAGCATGGCATTGTTTTTTTTAATCTTAGGAAAACACTTAATTATTGTCAATGGGGGACGTAAGTTTTTTTTGTTAACTTTATATAGGTATACATTGTAGTACTTAAGCGAATTAGTGCCATGAGATATTTTTTCTAAGTTGATAATCCCAACTGTAAAGTTGGCAATTCCAGCTTTAAAGTTGAAAATTTCAACTTTAAGCTTAGCTTTTCCAACTTTTAATTTGGAAATTCCAACTTAAAAGTAATTCCAACTTTAAAGTTGATAATTCCAACCGTTCAAATTTGGAAATTCCAACTTTAAAGTTGGAAATTCGAACTCTAATCTTGGCTTTTTCAACTTTTTACGGCTTTATGTATTATATTGTCAGAGACACTTTGTAGCTTAACTCATGTTACCGTTTTTACATATAATTAAAATGGAAAGAGAGATATTTAAAATAAAATAATGATCTTAGAAGGAATCATATTATTTGCATGGCCGTAGTAACCGGAGGGGGTGCATAGGGCGTGTCGACACCCACCCCCACCGCACAATAATACAAAAATTTGCCAACATATAGCATTAGTAGGTGGTTGTTGATAGTGCCCCAACTGAAAATATAATGTTCCATATACAAAATTTATTCATTGCGTACTGATCGATGATATCGATGTATTTAATTTGTAGCATGTAATGTAGCGTTTGATTAATCCTATATATAAAATATCTAACAACGGTCTCATTTCTAAAGTTTGTTAAGTGTCCGATCTCTAAAATATGTACGGAGTTGATTGAAAGTCTCTGTATACGAGGGCTATGGTTTTTTTTCCTGCAACAGCTGTGACATTTATTTCCCTTCTATCAACCGAAGAGAGTATTTTATTATTTAACATAGCTTAAGAAATTGATATAAACATAAAATTAACATAAAATTAATATAGAATTAACATAAATTGGATCCTGCAGTAGCCATTACATACATTTATATTTAAATTAATAAAACTAGTATTTATACTCTAAGAGGATCAAAAGAAATAGGATTTCTAATTAAAAGCTGTATGTTATATGTAAGGTCACAATGAAGGTCAGGGTATAAAATAAACTGAAAAAGATAAAATGTGCTCACCAATTTATTTCAGCGTACTACAATTACTTGAAGTTTTATACCATAGCTTCCTATGTCCCCGTCTGCCCTTCTTAAAGTACCTCCCTTCTCCATCTCCGCCATTTACATGTTGTTTATATCATATATCTTAACCAAAAGCCAATAACAGAACAAATATTTAGATATTTTTTGAACAAGAAGTTTTATATCATTTTGTCGTAAACAACCAACCGCTCGGGCTGATACCAGGGCAGAGATCAAAAAAGCAGTGTGATATTCTATATATCTCACACTGTAAGTTTCCTCACTGTTTTTAAAGTTTATATGTGCGCAGTCTTGTCACCTACCAGCCTAAGTATTAACATATGTCCCAATAAGTTAACATTCCTGAAAATGACTTCAAAGTCAAGATCCTAAACGAATTACAAAACAAAATCTCCTTCGAGGTTTCATTTCCACTCAAGAATATATCAACATGGTGTGACATGTCTTATGTAATATTTAAATGCATCCGATTTCCTTCTACCTAGGAGTCTAATCTTACTATTTATGAACTGGGTTTTAGTTTACAAAATTACTTTCATATACAGTAAAACTAGATTATAACAAAGTCACTGGGACATATGAAATTAATTCGCTATATCATTAATTCATTATATTCCTATAAGGAATTCGTTAATATTATATTGCAGGGGATCTAAGATTACTTCGGTATAACCGTGAATTCGCAATATCTGTGTTCGTTCTAAACGAGTTTTACTGTACAGTGGTTACCTCCGCAAATATGTACAGAAAGTTTTATTTTCAGGTGAACTTAAGGTTTTAATATTTTTTTCTTGCTTTTGTGCAATTGACAGGAATGTTTAATTGCAGCATGATTGCTGATTTTTTTTGTTTTAAAAAATGTTTGGCACACTTTGGATTTAATTTACTTTTTCATCAGGAGTTCCTATTTTTATTGCGCTCGTAAACATTCTAACAAGAAACAATAAAAACGAAACCAATAACCCGTAAAGGGAGCTCATATAAAAAGTGACTGATGCATGGCAGAGAGAGATATAGGGCAGCTTGAAGTGAAGTAACTATCTCGGAGAAGTTGCTATACATCAATATCGTAAAGACCTCTGAGCGCTGAACTATCAATAGTCATCTTAATTTTCCCTCTTAATGCACATGGATCAATAGTGATGGCGGAGTGTGATTTCTCCCCCTATCCTACAGACGGTAAGACAGAGTTAGATTTCTTTTTGAAAAAAAGAAAAATTATTTTTGACAAATTGGGTTATGGAATGTTTAATATTGTATAACGAGGAACAGAAAAAAATGCAAAGATTTTGCGAACCTTTAATTTGCATTACCATTAAAGTAGTCCACAACTAAAAAAATTTTTCAAAAAAGCATAAAATTTTCAAAAATAAATTCTAAAAATATTATGGAAAAAACCGCGAAAATTTAAAGAAAAAATCATGTTGTGAAATTCCAGTCTAAGCTTTCTAAAATTCTGTGTTCCCTATGGTTTATGACTACTGCTATTTCCGGTAGTTTGTCATAATGGATTTGTAATATTGTAAATGCAATAGATCGATTACAATTCGTTATCTTCAACCTTTTTCAATTTTTATTCGGTGTTCAATAATCGAAAATCACAATTTCCTTATATTTATTATTTACATTCAAACTTTTGATTATAATCATTCACAAGTAAGTGACCAACTCATTTTAATATATCTAAAAATATTTTATTTCCTGAAACATAAAGAGTAGAATTTTTATTTTATTTTTAGTTTATTGCCTAATCGCAATTCAAATTTTCCCCAGTAAATCTAAAACCCCTTTTATATACACTGTGTGTACTAGTACGCATAATTACATACAGCTGCCAATTTTTCATTCATGCTTTACCTTATTCTCCTGATGTGGAAGTGTCATTTTTCCGATGCGTTTACATGCACTATCAAACAGTATGAAGTTTACAATTTCAAAGATTTTTTTTGATAAGCTAGCTATTATTCTTCCTACGAGAGCCCAATGAGTTCATATTCGTAGGTACAAAAAATAAATTTTTCGCGTTATAACGAAACTTTTTTGCGTTATAACGCATAATATAACGCGTAGCTTTCGCGTTATTTCGTGAAATAATATGCATATAGTTATGTTACTCAGGAACATCGATCTTGACTGACAGATTAGAACATGAACACAGTCAGGAACTCTCAGGAACTTATTTATAAAATATCATTTCCTCAGAAGATGTACTGGAGAAATGATCAGAATAGTATAGATTAGTCATCAGAAATTTTTTTTATTTTAAAACCTTACCATTGAATTTATAAAATGTTTTACTTTCTTGTACATGTTTTTCAATTGTTAAATTCTTTAAATTATTTTTTAGCACTTTTTTCAAGCTGTTTTTTAATCGGTAACATTTACTACAACTGTACCACTAATAAATAAAGCAATCAATCATTTTGGACAAAAAATTATACGCTGTAGAAACATAACTAAAATTGAATGAACAATGTGTAATTTCATGAGCTTAATGGGCCATATGATGCTGTTTAAATAACAATTATAGTTGGATATTGTTAATTACAAAATTATTGAGGAGGAGGGGTCTCTAAATTTTCTCCAATATTTATATATATTATAGAGAAGTTCGTGGACTAGGCATAAATAAAAACTAAAAACTGTACAGCAAAAGTTGTCAATGTTTTCGTAAGCGATGGAATGACCACGTGATGCAACCTCAAAATAGGATATCCTATTTACACAGTGAATCCAACGGAGACAAATGAAAATCTGCTATCCAATTTTTCACAACTGCGGTGGGACACAATTGACAAATTTACCTCATTTTGTCAATTTTCTGAGATCTTGAACGCAAATTCTCTAGAGAGTAGAAACGCTTGAAGTTTAACTTTTGGATCGCATAAACTTTGAATTGTTTGAACAGCATTGAGAAAGACAAATTGTGACAGCAAAGATGGATTCAATAGAAGAAAGCTTAAAATTTATCTTGTGATAGTCCAAGATCAAAATAGCCTTTTGCTTATCATTGTAATGAATAAAATTGATGACAAAATCAAACGAAAATTGTAAAGCAAATTTCTCGTTAAACAGCAAAAGTTATAACGCGAAAGTTACGCGTTATATCGCAAAAGTTTCGCGAATATCGTTTCGCGTTATATCGCGAAAGTTTCGCGATAACAAATTTTTATTATTTTTAACGCGAAAAATTGATTTTTTTTACGAAAATGAGCTCATTAGGCTTTGTATTCTTCCTATTCTCTTAGTTAAAATTTCTTGATATCATGATCCGACATTAAAATCTTTTTTGAAAAAAAATAATCAATAATCAGCGCTTTTTACCTCAGACTATTTTTTTTTCTGAATCTGATAATTTAGCTCTTAATGAAAATCTATATGTTTGATAGCTTAAATTTTATTGAGAGATTTAGAGCAGAGGGTCATTAGTTCTTAAAAGAAATTTGTCGTCTGGTCTTTAAACGCTACCTTAAATAATGATTTGACTTAATAATAGAACAGATGGTACTTTAAAAATAAGCATTTTCATGAAATCAATATTAGATATTCTACAGATTTTTTTTTATTTCAATATTTCTATCCATGTGTAAATTTATATATATCAGCGTTCACATCGCTAAAACACGTCATAAAGAGTCACTTTACTCATGTACAAAAATCTTACTACATGTAGTTATATAATTTGCTCGAGGAGAGAGAAATACTTTCCCCTACCGCGCCTACCCCACATTCGCAAAAATACACCATGCTGTCGCAAATTTTTCATTAATGTCAAATTCGCTTCCAGTTTATTAATAGGAGCATGTGAAGGAGACTTTAGATCATTAACTTTATGTTTACAATTGTCATTTTGATTCATCCTGACATTCCTTATTATTACTTAAAATATAAATATTGTGTTAAATGGTTTAGATTATGATATTATGATTTTTTTTATTCACATTTCATATATATACATGTATGTATTTAATCATTATCTCTTTTGATATATTAAATTGTAAAGCTCTTAATATCTGCATAATTGAAATGTTTTTCTTATCTGTCGACCTATAACATTTTCGGTAAAAAAAAAAAAGCGTATGAAGTGTACATAGGGATGTCAACTGCTTATGCTCTCTGAAAACTTTTAATATTGACCTTATTGAAAAGCCAAATATAATCGGTGCTTCTACTGATAAAAAGTAAGCCAAAAAATATTGAATGAAATTTATATGTTTTAAAATAGTGGACCCCGAGCGAATGGTATTGTTCAAACTAAAGGTTTCTTTAAATGCATTTTGGTAATTTAATCTGAAAGCAAACACTTATACGGTTACAAAGAAATATCATAATTTATACATATCAGTCAGTATTTTGACTAAAAAGTGAAGTTATTACGAATTGATAATTAATTCTTTTGGTAATTGGCCGATATGACTGTAATCCTGAAGATATTGCTTTCACCACATTGTGGAAAATCTGAATAATCTTTTTCAAGAGAAAGCACATTGCTGCATTGTTTTTTCAAATTTTGTATAAATAATAAATCATTATTTATGATCTTTATAAAGGCCGCTTGTATTGTAATGCTACATATGACGGCGTACAATGTTGGAACCATACGTTAGCAGGAACAACAGCCTTCGGCGCGTGCCCAGAGAACCACCCGTCTTCAAAAGTATTTGACAATCCGTCAGGTAAGACTACAACTGAATACAAAACAATGTTTATAAGCTATCACATAAACCGATAGTCTAGTATATAATGCGCAAAGCACAGCTTGATAAAATAACTTAAGACCTGACAACATGGTGTATAAAAGATAATGGAGATATAGCACAGTGACTGATATCATAAAATCTGTAAATAGGACATAAACACGGACCCATGGAAAGTCAAAAGGTGGGATCAGGTGCCCAAAAAGAGGAAAGCAACCTCTGCTGACCGGTCCCATCTACCATAAGCCTTTGGTATTGATCAAATAGACGGGAAACCTGTAGTTAAAATCATTATATAAATAAAGGCATAACAACTGGTATGATATACGTCATCCAAAAAAGGTTATATAATTACTTACAACATCATTGTATGTTACGGAATAAAATCTCCTTTAAATAAACCGTGAGGAAATTAATCATTTAAGCTGTTAAAAATAAGCGTTGAAAACCTATTATTAGAAAAACGGAATCTTATTAATGCAACGGTGTGAAAATTAATTTTCATAATGCGCGCTATGTTTGGTCATTGATATCAAAAGTACATGTAAGATGTATATGTATTTAACTTATTTATTCATTTTGAGCAAGGCTTTTCAAATTGATTTATAATACCTTGCATAGAAACAAAAGGGGGTACTGATATTCAGTAATTTTTTTATCTTTCGTAAGCATTGGTTACATTACCAAACATTGATAGTCTCCATTGTACCATAAACATATCAATAAACTGCAGCGATGGCATATTTAACATTTGAGTACTGATATATCACAATTCTTACACGAACTGTTTTTAAAAATTCAAACAAGTAGTTGCAAGTAACTGATAGTTAATATTTCCAGTCTTTTTTATGCAAAAGATACTAATAATAGTAAATTATATGATTTTAAATGATATAAATTGTGATCAATCTGAGTACAATCCTCAAGAAAAAGTGTTTTAGTTTTCATTATATCATTATATATCTTTAAAATTTTCATCACTTAGAAACATTTTCTCTAAAAGCGAAAAAAAAACCGTTTGAAACAAAAATTATTCAGGAACCTGTGATTTTATAATAACCATCATAGACAATTCAAATTGCCATAGCATCTAATATTTTCCACCGAAACAGGTAACTATGACATGAGGTCATTGAATTTCGATAGTGTAGTATATAATGTGCACGGCATCACACATAATCCAAAAAAAAAACAACTTAAAACCTGCTAACGTGGTGTTGTAAATAGAGTGAAGATACCGAAAGTGGTCAGTCTCATAATATTACAAGTATGTGAATAGGTTATATGCATAAACACGGACCCCCGGAAAATATTGAGGTGGGATCAGTTACACTAGAGAGGTAAATAACCCCTGCTCGCACTGTAAGCCCTATGTATTGGTCACCTTAACGAAAAATTCTGTAGTCAAATTCAGTATACTCAGACCAGTAGGCAGGGGATACTCACTCCTCCGTGGCACCTGATCCCAACTCTGATGTTTAAGAAGTCCGTGTTTGCTCCACTCCTATTTTGTAGCTCAGATACTGTTCGTATTCGTATGAAATACGTCATCCAAAAAAGGATATACCAAAAAATAGGCTACAATTGCAAAGAAGGCCATCATATGATGTCATTGCATGAAACACCCCTCTCACATAAACTGCGAGACAATTAATTGTATAAGCTGTGGCAAAGAAGCATTGAAAATCCATTTTTGAAGGACGAAATCTAATTAATATAACGGTGTTTTATTAATTTTCATAATACGCGTTATGTTTGCACATTCATATTAAAAGTAAATGTAGTACGTACCGGTATATATGTATTTAATAATTATATTTTTTTTGTTTTGCAAACTTTTACATATTGAACGTACAAAATATCGTGTTGTAGAGAAACAAAATGGCATATGTGATATTCAGTAAACCTTTTTATCTTTCTAATTTTTCCATGCAATGTTTGTAAATAGCATTTCTGTTCCAAATATGAACAATAGAAGTTTATAAATGTTTTTTTTCCGTGTCCTTTAAATAGTTCATGTTAATTTTGCAACAGAAAATTTTGATATCCAATTGCAGCCCATATTACTTTAAGCAGTACTTTGTGCTTAAACAATGAAAACTGTACAAATGTTTATAGAGACAAATTTTAAGTACTGGGTTCTGCTCATTTTATTTGATATTTTGATGAAATTAGTCTTCACTTTATCTACCGGGCTATTATTCGTCAATGCTGGTAGCATAGCAATTCAGGGAGAGTTTCACCAAAAATAGATTTCAACTCGACTGAGCAATCGGCAAAATCTGAAGAAAATTTAGCAATACATGTAATATTATTGTTTTAGTATTCTTTATGATAATATTTTTAAATTCAATGTACCGCACTTGTATATACTCGCCTATAAGTCGGTTTTTGGGAGTTAAATATTGGTCTTAAACTCTATGTCCAACTTGTAGGCGAGTCATAAAGAGGTTGGTATTTTTCTGGACTCTGAAATACGCTGAAATGTAGTATTTTATATGCATTTCCGACGACTATAGAAAAAATTGTCTGGATTTATATAATAGTTTATGTAATCTTAGATTATATATAAAGTAAAAGTATTTACATATTTTAATTATTTCTTTTGTATCTTAAGTGAGCATTACTTATTTGTTTTATGATGTAGGATTAAATAGTAAACAGAAGTCATTTCGAAAAATATTCATTGAAAACCAGGTAAACACATCAATGGATTTTATTTCAAATTGTCACCCGATTTTGTCAAAAAATTGAACCGACTTATAAGCGGGTCATTAACAAATCCCACCAAAACAACGCCAAAACATTCAACCGACTTATAGGCGAGTATATACGGTACCTTTAAAATTTTCATCACTTGGACAAAGTAAAAAATAAATTATACCGCTTGTTTCAAGGATTGATGTGTTTCTTGCTTCGATTCTTTCTCTTATGTTTCAGTTTACAAAAGAATTTTCTCTAAAAGCGAAAAAAAAGTTTGAAACAAATTTATCTTGCTTCACCAATGTGTCACAACAGGATATCAAAATTTCTATTATTTACAACACGGAAACACGGAAGTTTGCTTATAAGCATTCATTAATAACGATGAAAGAGTGGATAATGTTTAAGGTGGTCAGGAGATCCAAAAATTGATAACAATTGCAAATAATAAACTTTTTTTTCTATCAAGGTTACTCTTACAGAAAATGTGAAATAAACGGAATTTGGTGGAATAACAGCAACTCTGGGATACACGAGTTTGCCAAGTCCAACTATCTGCCGTGTATTTCACAAGAAGTGCACAATGTAAGTGAATTGAAAACAACTCCAGGAGAGTAGCCGTTTATAATTTATTATTTTTATTCTTATAATTTTACTCGTTTTTTAAACTATTACCACATTTTACTGGCTCTTTTAACAGATTGAAGAAGACATCCACGATATGAATGTCGAAGTAGGTCCATTGTGTTCTCTTTTTATCACGGTATAATGAAAAATAATAGTTAATAAGTTAAACTACACTAAATAAATTTTAAAAAATCTTTTAATTCTTCAAATCTGAAGGTTTTACGTAAAGACATTGTCAATTAAATTAAAATTTCATTTTAAATTAAAATCTCTCTCTCTCTCTCTCTCTTTTCTATTCTAATATATATTCTTTTTTTAATTTCTGGTACAGAGAATCAAGCTTGTTATGTATATCTACATGAGTGGTTATACTGTGTCCATTTTACTGCTGATCGTCGCCTTGGCTATTTTTGGTTTGTTCAAGTAAGACCTCAGTTCAGCAAAAACACGCTTATAACCAAGTACCAGAGGGGGCCTCTATTTATCGTTTGAAATAATTTGTTTTAGTTCGTTAAATTCACGATGTCATAAAAATCAATCCCTTAGGGAATGAACTGATATCATTATATGCTATAGACGTCAATTCAATATAAGTGTGTTTGGTATAAGAGCAGTATAAATGCAGCTGTGTCCTTTTATTCTTTACTTTCGCTTTTATCTTTTTTGTCAATTTTGTCCGTCTGCTTTAATTTAATATATGCTATGTTGAACGTTATCAAAATTGAATACCATAATGGAAAAAAGTTTAACAACATCCGAAATACATTTTGAACTGAATGTGCAGTATCAAATTCCTTTATATATGTTTTCTTTTCATTCTCATTATTTCGATTCTTCAGAAATCTCAAAGTTTTGATCGATATGGTGACTCTATATTGCTAAAATATCATGGAAATGAATTTTGTTAAATGTTCCGATATTTTAATTCGTAAGACACTGCCGATGACCTTAAACAAAATTAAAGTATTTGTGCAATTTTTTATCAAATTGTTTGAATGGCACCTGGTCCCACCTCCGATGTTTTGGAGGCCCGTGATTGTTCTGCTCCTATTTTGTATTGTTTTATGGACTTTTGATCTTGAAAATTGTTCGTTATCTCCATTTATTACATACTTGTTTCCTTGTAGACATATCCAATCATTGATCTTTATCTGCTTCAAAGCTGTTAATGAAAATATAAAAAGCATGCGTAGGAATTTATTTCTAATCTGAGAAAAATATGCTTTTGATCAGCTTCTTTATTAAACGTACATATTTGTATTGATTTTGTAGGAAGTATAAGACTTATAACCCATTCCTCTTTTTTCCAGGCAGCTTCATTGCAGTCGTGTCACAATACATTCCAATTTGTTCATCTCCTATATCCTCAGTGGCTCTATGTGGATTGTATTTTATACCGAGATGTCATTAAGCAACTTTGATATAGAATCCAGACCGGTAAATTCAGATTCCAAAAAGATATTAAAACATGTTTAATGTTTGTTGTCTAACACAAGTTAAATAAAAATAGTTAAATTTATTGGAATATAAATGAATTTAAAAAAGATTAATCGTAATCGGTTCCATAGTACTAGTATATATGTTTGTTTTAACGCTCATATACAAATGTTTTCCTAAGGAGATTGAAATATGTAAGAAAAAAAATATGCTAAAACACCTTATTTTACAAATTATCTTTTAAGGTGTAATATTACTCTGAAAGGAGAGTTAACTTTCGAGGGAAATTATTCTAAGCAAGCCTATGATTTGCTTTGACAGAGTTTAATAAAAAGGGTCATAATAATCATTTCATCAAATCGAAACTATATTACGATAATTTCTTGTTTCTATTTAAAAAAAAATTTATTTAATGAATAATTTTATTATATTTGAAATATCGAAGCGTTTACCCCATATCGATTATTATGAAATTTCATACCTTAAAACAATATTTTCTTGATGTTTAATCTACCGTTTCTTTCAGACTTGGTGTTATGTTTTACATGCCTTCACACAATACACAACACTCTGTAATTATGCCTGGATGCTGTCAGAGGGCATATTCCTACACTTTTGTTTGGTTCACGTGTTCTCTGAAAAAAGGAAACTGTTAATTACATGCTGTGTCGTTGGATGGGGTAAGGGCTTCATATTAAACGCCCAAAGGTTTATAACCCAGAGTTATTTTCATCTTTTTTATTTTATTTTACAAATTTTTTTCAGTAAAAGCTTAAATTCTTTTTTACATATTTTATTTATCTCCATCTACACGAGGGAGACTGCAAAAATAGAATTGAAGAAAAAATCGCCTTCTTCAGCATTGATTGACCTCTTGTTGGTTATTTTGTTTATTTAAATAATGCCATAAGAGATGATATGTAATCTTATTAATGAAAAAGAGTTAAACGTTAGAACTTTAAGTTAAAACACTTACTAACTTAACGTTAACTTGTCTTACTGAGTGAGGATGTCGCGATTCCTATTTTACTGAACTCAGCAGATTTTAAAACCTGTTATTACTGAAAGTAATATTTTTACTGATGAAATGTAAGAAATGTATATTTAGACGTATTTTTTCTATTTTTAGTTCTACCCATCTTCTTTACTGCCGTGTATTGCGTGGTTCGCCTAATTGACGGGGAGAAAGAGAAGCATGGGTATTTCCTTTTTATAAAGATTATGCCATTTCTCCTTATAATTTATTTCCACGTGATTTATCATATCAGAAAGGGTACAAGTGCATTTATTTCAAATACCTCGTTTTATTTGTTCTTTTAACTCTACCATCACCCCATATTTCAATTCCTACTCTTTGAACTGGAGGGTACACGGATTTAATGTTATAATCAATCAATTTCAATACGTTTACTGGTTATGCACGTGCAGTACACCTAATAGCTGGTAAATGATATTTAACTTTTGTCTATAGTGCTAAAAAGATTACCTTTTTTATCATCTTATTTGAGTGTATCTTCTTGCAAGAAATCACACAGAAATTTAATCATGTCCCTAAAACCGAAACTCACGTTTTATTTTCTTTTAAATAAAATCCTTTTTAAATAAATATGGATCACGATTTATTTATCTCTTGTATTAGTCGTTTACAGAAATATTTTAGTTTTAAAAAGTACATATTCTACATTCATGTACTCAGAAGTTGATATTAAAATGATGCTGGAGGACTCCAACGAAAGTGTATATTGAAAGTTAATTAAAATTAATTTTTGTGTGAAATGCTATTATAATATATGAGTCGTAATATTATAGAGAAAATATTGACTTCAAATCTGTGTCCAAGTACCTTTAAAGTACCATTTTCTACAATTGCTTTATTTTTTATCACAACAATCGGTATTTTCCTGCCAACCCAACTCATAAGTCTGAAATATTAAAAGAGTTTTTTTTATTTTACAGGTGTTGGCTAGAAATCCAGTGGTCTTTTTGGATTCTTTTAGTACCTATCATTTTATCCTTACTGGTGAGTGACTAGCATTCTCAATATTCTAAGAACTAATGCCTTTATAAGATACCATTTCCCGCGAATATAAAAAATAGAAATTTTTATACCGTTCTCTCTGTATTTACATGTTAAATTCTGGATTTTGTTTTGTATGAAGAAAACTGTATATACATGTTTTACAATTGTTTTCGGCAAACAGTAGTTAATATAGAGTTTGTGTTCTGTTATTATTATACATGTATGTAAGAAATATTTTATAGGTGTAAAGAACAACTGTCCATTTTGTTGGTAACATTTGATGCTTATATTAACTACAATTTTGTTTATTGATCAAAACCTTTATTTTGATCAATAAAATTCAACTTCAATATACATTTGCCTTTTGGGAAAAGAGGAGGCATAAATATCGTAATATTTAACCCTTGAAAAGATTTATTTTCTAACCTTGGTTTAATTGTTATTTTCGTTGCAGCTTAATCTGATCTTCCTTATCAATATTTTGAGAATCATATTATCAAAAATACGATCTTACAACCAGAGAGATTCTAACCAATTTAGGTAGGTTCAATTTATGTATAAAAAATTATGATTTTATTGTTATATTGCATCAGCATGGGTCGGCAGTGCATGCACATGATCCCACCTCCGATTTTGGAGGTTTGGTTTGCTCTGCTCCTATTTTGTATTGGTTTAAGGTATTTTGATCTTGAATACTTTTTGTTATCTCCATACCTTTGATGGAAGAAAGAGTCAATGAAGTTGGGGGTTTTTTCACATCGTGATATATAGCATCCCTTACAGAAAAATGATCAATCCTCGATCAAATTTCAAAAACAATTGGACTCAGATGAAAAAATTACTCCATTTTCTTGTGGAAGTGTTTTTACGTCGCTTTGAACTTGTTGACTTTAGTCACATGTTTTGACGTTACGTTATAAAAGAGTTAGCGAAGGATTTTGCTTGGCGCATCACATACATATTTATTACACTTATACATCCGCTTCTGGTGACACAGCATCTTCAGAAAATTTTGCTGAGAGAAAAAAAATAAATCGTCAGGTTTCTACGTTTAAAAACACGGAATTTTTTATATTGATCATGTTTTAAGTATAATTTGATATCAGATTCTGGATAAATACCCTGCATATTGATTATTTAAACAGTCATGGTAACAAATATATGACGACACGCATCCACAAATTTCCGTCGAAATTTGATGAATGTCTTACAGGAGACGACATCGATAATGTCGTGAATTCCGACGATGCAAAGATTTTACATTTTAGCATTTTATGGAATTTCTGCAAAAATAAATTCGAAGAGAAAAAAAATCAAATTAAAACAAAAATTACATTACCAAGCATGGTTCATTTCATTTGAAGGCCGTTCCTTTTTTATGCTTTAATTTCCAATGCCAACAAATAAAATTTATAAAGGCATGGATAGTGTCATTTGCAACTGTAATTATTAATGTATTTAAAAAAAATTAACTTCCTCTTAAAACCGGAAAAGTATGTTATTTTAGGCATCGTAATTTTTATCTGGAAATTCAATACTTTTTGTTTCTATATATATAGCTTATGCACGCCCACCTTGGGGAGCAGTTTATGCAGCAACTATTTATACATGTAAGATAATACATTAATGCATATCTGCTGAAAACGAAAAACAAATTGAAAACTTAAAACAACCATTAGGAGGAGGTATAAAGAGAATTTTTAAAAGGTTTCATTCATGACTTTTATATCTTTTATCAATAAAGAATTATTTCATTGAGGTAATGAAAAAATAACGCCTCAATTTCTCATGTCCACATTCTAGAACAAATATAAATAGATCGATAATAATGTGCGTTGAGTTAATATTAAATAACTAAGGCCATCTTTAAAAAAAGAATTTGGTTGTCCATTCCCGACCAACTGTCTAAAAAAAAAAGACCCGACTCAAAACTTTTTTTTACATTCCAGGACATGATGTTTTTTTTTTTCATTTTATTCCTCTTATTCCAACAAATATGTTGATTTTTTCTTGAATTTTTATTTCGATCTACCCGATGATCCAATAATTTTACCCAGAGTCGGGAGAGAAAAAGCAAACGTTATTTTAAAGATGACCTAACACGCATGAATTTAACTTGCTATACATAATTTGAAAAGAAAAAGTGTACGATTAAAGAAGATTTAACATGATATGGATAGGATGTAGGATTTTAGTTGAAAGATTGGGATTAGCCTAACAGAAAAATTCAACAAAAACAAAACTTAATATTTTCACTTTAAAAATGAAACTGAAAAGGGAAAGGGAGAAAAAAGAAACATGTGCGTTTTAGCCGCGAGAATTTGACGTTGCAATAAACACCAATTTTTTTCAACGTCAACGCTTATGTCATGAAGCCCGGTTTTGTCAGAGAGCGGTCCATATATATGTACCGACTAGATTGGGCTCTTCGTTAATAATAAAAAGAATATTACTGATCATTTTAAAAAAAATATTCATAACGCCAGATTGCAAAGTTAGAATTTATTAAATTAAATGCTGTCATTCATTTTTATAGATTGATTTAAAGAAAAATCAGGTAACTTTATATTTGCGAATCGGTTACCTTGTGTTCATAGTTTTTATTTTTTTTTGTAGAAAAACCGTCCGCGCCATCTTGATTCTCGTTCCTTTGCTGGGTTTACAGTATATACTAATGCCACTGAACAACGACTCATTTATTTACAAGATAATTGTTGCAGTAGTGACGTCATATCAGGTAAACGTTATTGTTATGATTTAAAGACTTTTTGTACTGCAAGGATTCCTCTGAAAATGTGTTCCAAAGAAAAACAAATGGGCAAATTCGAATAAGAATTAAAAGAACAAACTTTGGTTCCGGATTGTAGAAATGACTACCATTCCTCCGGAAGAAACTCATCTGAAAGCAAAATGGAGTCTTGATTTTTTAATATGTGTTGAGAAATATGAAGACAACGAACGATGATCGATCTCAAAAAATGTAGAAACATAAAAGATGTAACCCTCCCCCAAAGAATGGTTAGATTATTCAATTGAAGTTTGCTGCAATAAAAATATATATCTTTAATAATTTTTTCTAAATAAAAAAATGTACGTGCAATATGCATTGCTTTGACAAATCCACACGACAGGTATGACCTGTTTAGTCATTTTTGGAGGCCCATTTATGCACTAACAAATTAGTTGGGAATTCTATTTTTTTTTTCTTTTAAAAGCATTTTCGCAAATTTCCTAGCTGATTAATTGACTCTGATTGCAAATACTTGTACAACCTGCCATTAAGTTGAATGTTGACTGATAATTGTTTAAATTGTAAGGCCACTACAAAGCTAATTGTGCCACGTACGTGTAACGTATGGTTGCACATATGTTACAATGAAACGTATAACCTGAAACAATGTTACAATGAAACGTGAAACTTACCAAATACATACGTGTATTTAAAACATACGTTAAACGTACATAATACGTACGTGGCACATTTTGCTGTATATTCAAACCCATGCTGAATTGTCTACAGATGTTTACCTTCTTCTCTTGTAGGGTGCAGTTATTGCCGTGCTGTTTTGTTTTCTCAATGGCAAGGTATTTTTAATTATTTGAAATTCAAATAAAAGTGAAGACTGAAGAGGTATTCTGTGAAGAACTTGATCATGTATTTTTCAAAAACGCATGCAAGTTAGTTTTAAATACTCTTAGTTTTGATAATGAGTTTTATCTCATACGTGTGGATGATACTATCCGTTGGATAAATCTATGCTTTACCCACGGTTAGATGCTTATCAATAGCACTTCCGGCTTTGACACGATCCCTCGCTTCAAGATTTTTTTATTGAAACTTTTATTTGTAATAATTCTTGCCCTAATAAAATGAAAGGTAAAGAACAGTAATGTCCTTAAAAGCAAAAAAGAGTAGTATATGTCAATGAAGAGTCTAATTTATCAAGATACCTGTATTGGCTACTTGACGACGGATGTTACCCCCCCCCCCCCCCTTCGTTTAAATCGTTTTCGGAGAGAGTAAAGCCTAGGAGTTTTGTTTTTGTGGTTATAAGATTTTTTCAACATCTTCAACAATGCTTTCATATATTATACTACGTATTATACATAGTAATTTAGGTGTAATTTACCTTGGGTCAACAATGAATCTACACGTAGCCTTGCCTAGCACGTTTCGTACTCACCCCTGTCAACGCGCGATCGGCAACGCGGATGCGATCGGCAACGCGGATAGCTAAACTCAACTACATGAGGAAGATGAGGTTAAATAAAACATTATTTTGTCCTATTTCCTTGCAGTTATCCTTCAACATTTCTGACTTTTTAAATGCTACTAGACATGTTCAACACCATAAAAGTCCCCTACGCATTAAAAATCACCATATATTATGTTAAAGAGAACATGACTGCCCTAACCTGACACATAAAGCTCGTTTAAGTGGTATTTCTTACCTTATTACGTATACCCGACTGTCCAAAAGGCACATTTGCATTGTAAATAGGTAAATCATAAATTTTAAATCCGATTTGAAGTTCTTCATCAAATAGAAAGCATTGAAATAACGGTTTGAAGTGAACACATGCCAAACGTTTTGGCGATCGGCAACGACTTTCTATATGCGATCGTACAACAAAGAAAATATGATAAACATGCGATCGTGCAACTTGAAATTTATAAAATACTTTTAATGAAATAAAGTAATAGTTAGCCATGTGGTATGGGTGGAAAGTCTGTCGAAATAGAACGAGATACCAAACATTTGATTTTCGAGAGAGAAAGAGCGAATTTAACTGACGTTCTTGTATATTAATTGAATAATGTCTGTATTTTAAGAGAACAAAATTTAAAACTCCATGGAACCCTAAAACTTGATATTATTTGATTATTGTTTAAAGCACATACCTACAGAGTGTTATAGGACCGAATTTTAGCAATATAGAAAAAAAAGGTTTTATTGTCTATGATCACAGGTGCTTGAGGACAGGACCCCCCCCCCCCCCTTTCGATATAGATCCCTGGCCTTTTTCGATTTTTTTCTCATAAAAAATCTTTCATTGCCACATTTATGATAAGATCTATACCAGGAAATCGAAAAATTACCTTAAACAAATGTTCTATTAAATTTACCCTACATTCTCTATATAAAAATTTTTATATATAGAGAGGGTAGATATTTTTTTTAAAATGTAAGTTTAAGCAAATGTTTGCTAATTTTATTTTCAGGTGGTTGCACTCCACCACATAAAAAACTATTTAAATTTATTTATTTATTTAAACCCCTACAATACTTTCTTCTTCAATGTTTTGATCTGCGTTGCCGATCGCATCCGCGTTGCCGATCGTGCGTTGACAGGGGTGGTACTGTCAACATACAAAGAGTTAATTTTTACGATCCCTTGAGTCTTACAACTTTTAGTCAGAAGTTCGCTTGATGTAAAGCTCCAGCAATTGTCTCATAATGTTTTCAAAGACGCATATAGCAAAATTTTGAATATTGAGCTCGATTCTACTCTTTCGAGATATGTTAACATCAAAATTGCTACGTTATCAACTTATACACAATCAATTTGAATTCGAAATCATTCATGTAGTTTCACAGGGGAATTCTCAAAGTTTTGTTAAAGCGAAAGTCGTATGAGATAAAAAGAACATCTATAATTGTGTAATTCGATATAAGCTTTTTCAAACTCGTTGAAATGGCGTATATTCGCTCGGCAAGCCTCGCGAATAAATTCACAATTTCAACTAGTTGGATAAAGCCAATATCAAATCACACTATATAGATATCCTCTATATATGTATTCCAGCAATGAAAATCCATTTAATATGCGACACAAGTTGATATATGTAAATGGAATGTTTTCTATGATTGGGTATTTCCAGGTTATAAATCTTATCAAAAGAAAAATAAGAACAAAACAATGGAGTACTGTTTCACAACGTCTTCCACAAAGAAGTTCTCTAAGATCGAGCTCAAGAAAAAGCAATTCGTCAAAGAAGGATGAATATGAATTAACAGAAAACAAGGGATCACGAGCTGCATTCCTACCATTATAGACAAATGGAGTCGAACAGGGTGGAAAAGGGCCAGATTCTTTATCAAGTGTATGGAATTAAAAAAAAGTTTTTTAAGGAAGCTCTAAATACGAACATAAAATTGCTTTTTGGCCTTGGTGAAAATTATGTCATATGAATGTGCATATTGAGACTTTTTCATTCATTTATAACATGGTATATGGCATGGTATTTCAAAGGAAAATTTTTTAAAGACAATGAACTATCTGAGAGAAGAAATCAATGCTGTTTGCTGAGTGAAAATAATAAATTCAATTATTTCCTCTTGGTTGTACATAATGTTAAAAATATTTTGATCTATTACAAATCGTGCAACTGTAAATAGCATTTTTTTTAAAACTTACTTCTAAGGGCAGATCACTCTAACTACATACAACTAATCTATAAGTAGAGATTTTTAGTGTGCATAGTTTAGAGCTTTCTTAAGTTTAGGTTCTTTGTGTGGAAAATTCAGCCACATGTTACAACGGTGGGGTAAAATTTTCCATTTTTGAAAATCTACAAACTAAATTATTTTAGAATTAGTAGTACATATAAAAATTCAATAATGTATATATAAAATATATAAAAATTCAAGGACATCCTTTAATGAAACTATTCTCTCTAGTTTGTATGTGTATATTAATAAACATCAGAATAATGATTTTTTTTATACTTGAATTAAAAATTAAAAGGTTGAACCAAAACACAAATACAAATACTTGTTCTTTATACTTTCTTACATATACAACATTATTCAGTATCGGAGGACTTCCTAGTTATTTAAAAGAAACATGATAGAGGCATTAAAAATTTGGAAATAAGTGTGGCGAGGCGCTGATGGCATATTATTCATTTGAAGATTTTGACGGAGGCTACATAGACTAGTAACAGAACTGTTTACAAGAAGTCCTTTTTATATAAGTGTATATTAATAAACATTAAAAATTACGCGGACTGTGCTATTATTTACTCTTACAGATTTTTATAAAATTTCACTATGAATTAAAAATTTTGGGCAAAATTAAAAAAAAATCTACTAGAATTATCGGTATGTTGATATCGTTGATGGAGTGGTACGGCGCACAACAAAAAATTGAAGCAAAAGCATACTCATTGATTTTTTCGCGTAAATATTACCTTTAAATTGTTCTATTATTATGTATTTAGATATATATTTGAAGCAGAAATATAGTGATTTTTCTCTAATGCGATTCCCGTGAAAACGACTGTGAAAATGACGTCTCCTGAATTGACGGCGCACCACACGTTTGGTAAAATATGTGTAATGCTCGAGATATCGGCAACATAGGCTGCATAATAAAACATGTAGTAAACTAGGCTTTTTCGCCCACAAATAGCAAATTGAAATTTTAGACATAACAGAAGGCTATTAAAAATTTGGACGTTAACTTTATCCGTAGAACGAGGCGCTGTAGTTTTTGGTTTTAAAACATAAAAAAGAATATATTCTTTACTTGTTTGATAGATTGGCAAGTTTTTTGATGTTGAGAGGGTAACTAAACTATACAGGTACTAACAGAAAATGTGTTGAAAGCTCAATCACATATTTTTTATAATGCTTGTGACGTCGAAGATTTTGCTGCCTTTAATGGTATGTCACCCCTATTTAATTTTGATATGAAATTTTGACATATATAAGATTCTATATTACATGAAATTTTGAAATGTCTGATATTTCTCAAAAGCAATAGAAAATGATATCTCAAAAGCAAGAGAAATGGGGTGGACAAAGATCAACAAAATATCATCTCATTGCCACTCGTTTTCCAAAATTATTGCAGACTGGAAAGCCTTTCCCGTAAAGGGTTATTTAAATGTTATACATACGACGGCTGATCCAAAACTAACAACGTCACAACTTTAATAAAATTAATTGTAATCAACAAAATTATACATGATTGAAACTAATACTATTAAAAATCAGTCCTGAAAAATTCAAATTAAAATGATTTCTAATATTTAAAATATTGAATTTTATCCAAAATGCAATTATGGTAGTCGCCACTCCTAAATAACGTCATGTAACGGAAACTACCGTCAATCACTTAAACTCTTCACCTTCGTTTCATTAAAAATCAGATTCACGAACTCATTCACATATTTAACTTTAAAAAAATGAATTATAGGAACCCATTGTACACTCACTTTATATATAAATTCCCCTTCAAAATTCTTTGAGCAGTGCCATTAGACAAACTTAAAGTTTCTCATCTCTGTCTAACCGTGACACGTCTCTCTTTTTTAACAACATCAGACACTATTGAACGTTTCCGCCCGACCTACTGTTTTCGGTCTTTCTGACCTCTGCTGATCATTTACTGACTCATGTCCCGCTAAAAGTCGCTGAAACCATTTTTAAACAAGTCTTTAATTACATTATTTCCCCTGTGTGTCTGATTAATCATCGTAACCGTCTCTTCTTGCGATTCCCCCATTTTGAAGCAAAAGTGCATAAAAGCTCGTTTAAGTGTTTTGTTTTTTTCATTTCGACATATCCTTTGTTCAGTACATCAGATTAAAACAACAATGTTTATGATCAAAAAGTAATGACGTCATTTTATTTTCAACTAAAGACTAGAAAATATTGTAAAATTTTGTCTTTTGAAATATTGGGCGATAAGACGCTTTTTAGATGCTTTTAAATATACACGAGTGACCCGGAATTGGAGACAACTCGGAATTGGTGACTCCACTGTATTTTTAAAAATGTGTGTATTTCTAAAGGGAAATAATTGATGAATAATTACACCGTACGGTATGATACGGATTTAGTTTTGATTAGGGGTGTACTTGGTAGGGACCTGTAATTAATTAACGACACAAAACCTTTAATGTGTTTGTCTTTTTTTTTCATTCTAACAATATACGCTTTAAATCGTGACGTTTAGTTGTGACGCGGCGACACCCCTTATATGTTCAATGATTTAAACGTCTATACAATTAATTCAATTAAACATAATTAAATGAAATTTTCAATTTTATTTAGATTTATTTTTATGCATCTTTTGGTATATCAAATTTAATAATATGACGCCAAATATTAAATATATGGACACAGTGACATTACTTTTCGATCAACCTGCGTAATACGACACAAGTTTGTCTGTTTACTTTTGATAAGTTTTAGCTAAATTTGATCACTCTCATTTTAGTATTCAAAACAGATATCTACCATAAACCATATAATTGGGTGTAAATGATTAAAACATAACTGTATAATCTGTCAAATTTGAGTTGAAGTTCTCGATAAGTTACTCATTTTCAAATCCCCATATCTGGCAACCATGAAAAAGGATAGGGATAAGAATTTTATAAAATCATATCAATTTGACAATCGACAGATATATGCTTAAATTATAAAGTTCAGTGGACCTTCAGATATCCGGACTCAAGATATCCGGGTGCTTCGGTTTCGGAACGATTTTTCATCGGAACGGAATTCTTTAACGTTATTTGTCTTGTTTAACTGGTAATTCAGGTGTCCGGACGCTTCACATATCCGGACAAATTGACTGGGAACTAAAGCGTCCGGATAAATGAGGCTTCACTGTACATGTATGACTCATATAGAGATAACAAACAATATTCAATATTTAAAATCCACAAAGCAATACAAAATAGGAGCAGAGCAAACACGGACCTTCAAAACATAAGAGAATTGGATCAGGTGTCATGGAGGAGTGAGCATCCCATGTCTACCGGTCACAGCATGACTCTTGTTGCTGTTTACAAAGCGGATAAATGTCTAGAAAAAAGGAAACTCTCCTTGATATTTAAATTGCTATACAATTTCTGTTATAATTTTATTATGTTTAGGTACAAAAATGATAGGTATCTTGATTTTTTTCTCAATTTATATATGAACACAAATAAGAATTAAAACAATTTTTTCAATATCTTAAGCAACAGATATTTTTAAATCAATATATTGTTTATTTTAATATATAATTCATAAGTTCAAAATACGTTCAACAAATATTAACAAATAATTATAATTACTCACATTGTTTATATGCCTTGATAACTCTGAATTTTTTATTCGTTCACATATGATTTATCATAAAGAAAATTAAAGTGAATTAAATATTCTTATCTATTTTTGGAAAAACATCTATTTTGATGGAATGCATCCATTAGAATACTACTAATGACCATATGATTTTGTCTTAACTATAACTAACATGATAAATATATTTTTATATTCTAAATTCGTAGTTCAAAGCATTTCATCAAAAAGAATATAACCTGAACCTATGTCTGATAAATCATGCACGTACACACATGTGCATGCACGTGTCTACAGGTGAACGCTTACCTTGTCTACATTTCGAGAAGCAATAGTCTGACAGTTTCAGGGAGGGACTGCTTTTTTGGACTCCTCTTGTGTCAGGTATGTACGGTAATTTTTTTTTAAACTTTTTTTTCCTTTTTACAATCTTATTTCACTACATGTACTAGTAATCGAAACCGTTTAAAATATATATATATAATAAGGAATTGTCAAACCGATTGTGCTTCAATTAAACTTTATTCACGAGCAACTTTAATCTCTTATAAAAAGAGATAAATATCTTTATACTCTAAAACAATTTTTTAAAAATCAGTACCTGAAACTTGATATTCACAAGAGATGCTTCAACAGTCAATCGCAAATTAGAAATAGAGGAACTACAAAAAGTATTCAATAAGTTAAAATATTAGACAAAGTATATAAAGGAAAACCCTACTATGCAGATTTTCTGACCGTTATAAAATTTTATTTGTATAAAAGCTTTGAAGCGACAAAAATACTGTTATGACATTAATGACACAGCTTTTTAAAAGTAGTTTTATTATTATCATTTTTTTAGATGGAAATACAATACATCCTTAAAAGTATGAAACAAAATTAGGAAGGATTTCTAATTCTAACTTCTTATTATGTCCTCACTAAAATTCTTATGAATTTAAGTTAATGCAGTCCAAATGCGTAGAATCTACAGTCCTTTGTTTTCGATATTTTTTATTATGCCAAATGTTAAAAACAACTTCTTCAAAAGATTTTTATGGAAGTTGGAGAGGCTGTCTCTCTGCATACATGGTACTGTGAATAAAAATATTTTTTGGCAAGTTGAAGATATATCTGATAGAGAATATCCGTAGCAATTTAAATCCCATAATTCCCTTTTAAAATACCTGGTTTGAAGTTTTGTTTTGTTAATCTGAGCTAAGAAAGGGAGAACCTATTGGGAAAAACAATTGAAATGCAGTGCTAGAGCTGCTGCAATCGCCGATGGTTGGACTTCTCAAGAAACTCAAATTTTCAGTGTATATAGATACTTTATCCAAACTTTATTTTTGCTTACGCGACCACAACTTGAGTATGTATCTGAAGTGTGGTCATTATGTGTTCAAACAGGTCTGCCATTATTAGCATCAAGGAACTCGTTATATGTTAAAACAGGATGGGAACCTCTCATGATAAGAAGGGATAAAGCTAAACTTTTAACAATGTTTAAAATCAATAATAACCTAGCTCCTGATTATCTAAAAATATTGTTCCAGTA